AATCAGAATCCTAGAGGAGAACATAGGCAGTAACCTCTTCGATATCAGCCACAGCAACTTCTTTCAAAATATGTCTCTTTCTTGTATTTTTATCTGTTTCTCTTGCTTGGCTGTGTTGGCTAGAACTCCAGTACAATGCTGAATGGAAGAGATGATACTGAGTTTTGAATAGTCACCATAAAGCCTGGTGTTTATTGAAGATTTGGGGGAGACATTCTTTATCTGATTAAGGAAATTCCCTTTATACCTAAAGATTTCTCATGAATGTGGATTCTAATTTATCACTGTGGCTCTATTGAGATGATCATATCCTGATTCTCCTACACTGTGTTAATTTTTGTACTTTTACATGTATCTCAAAAGACACTATTGTTGTTTTTATGAAAACAGTATTTATGCATATTTATCCACATATTAACTATTTCCGTTATCCGTCCTCCATAGGACAGTTCTATCAGTTCCTTATAACACTGTTTTCCTTTGATCAAAAAAAATGATCTTTTAGCATTTTTATATTGTAGGTCTCCTGGTGATAGATTCTTTAAACATTTTTCTAAGTATGGGTTTTTAAAAGTTGTCATCTCTGTTTTCTGGCTGCTTTTAAAATTCATTGCTCGTGATCTTTTACAATATTGCTATGATGTTTCTAAGTAAAGATTTTTTTTTTGTACTTCTTTTCTTCAGTTTGTACGGTTTCTTGTATCTGTGGTTCAGTGATGTCTTTCATCAGTTTTGGAAAATTCTGTCATTACTTCCAATGTCCGTGATCTGATATCTCCTCTCATTGTGGGATTCACTTACACATGCGGTAGGCGTTATCCCTCTATCCTGTAAGTCCGTTACTCTTTCTGCTATATTTCTGATTCTCTTGTCTCTCTGTGTTATTCTGGAGACTTCCTTCTGTCCTAGATTCCAATTCATTGATTTTTGTTAAACTGTGTCTGACCTGCTTTTAATTCTATCAGCTTCTTAATTTCAGCTACTGTATTTTATAATGATAAAAACGTGTATTGGGTTCCTTTCAAAATTTGCCCCGTTGTTTTTAATGGTTTCTAGTCCTTACCAAAAGTTTAGGTTTCATACACATTGTCCTCAAAGAGACAAACATAACTATTTCCAATGTGTGAGTAAGAACTCCAGTATCTGGGGTCCTAACGGTTCCATTTCTATTGTCAGTGAGTCTGCTGCCTCTTCTTCATGGGATTTTCTCTCTTTCAGTACCTGGTGATCCTTGATTGTATGCCAGGAATTACATTTGAAAACCTTTCTGTAGAAATGAATTCAAGGTCTTAGATGACGAACATTCTTCTGAAAGGATCCTTGCTGCTCTTTCTTCAGATACCTGGGGACATGAGTCATCTGGCACCACTTTCATTCAGCTCAGACACTGTTATTTTGTTATTTTTCTGGGCCACCTACAGTACTTGCAGAACTGCAGTAATCTTGAGTCCCAGAGCCCATGGCTTAGAGGTCCTAGGACTTGTCCGAAGGTGTTACCATGGCTTCCACAGGGCAAGACCTGGACTCCAGTTTTTTTCCCTTGACTCCATGAGATGGCCCCTCCTGATTCAGCTCACCTTCCAGCAGAAAAGCAGGCTATATGCTTGACTCCCACCTGGATTTTTGTCTCCTGTCACATCATGGTCCAGTAATACGTCCATAGTTTATTAGATTTCTGATACATTCACAAACATATTTTATCACTTACCCAGCGTCTATAGTCTTTCTTGGGGGGAGGAACTGGAAGTAAACTGATCTTTTATTTGAATTAATTAAGATTCCCCTTACAAGAAGGAGAAGCCTCCTTAGGAATTTTTATTTTTATTTACTTTTGTAAAGATTGATTCATTGATTTTTTTAAAGAGCGAGAGAGAGCCAGATGGGGCAGGGGAAGAGGGGTAGAGGGAGAATCCTCAAAAAGACTCCCAGCTGAGCACAGAGCACAACTCACAATGCCAGACCAATCCTAAGAGCTACCAGAGATCTTGACCCAAGTGGAAACCAAGAATTGGACACTTACACGGCTAGGTCACCCAAAAACCCTAAGAAATGTTATATTTAATTTCATGTGTTTTGGAATTCTGGATAAAATTACTTGGTTCTAGTTATATAGTATTACAGTAATACAAGGTACTATGTCCTCCAACTACATTTTCAAATGTATTCAGGATGTTTTGTGGGCTAATATATGATCACGTCTATAGGGGTATCATTTTGTGATATCAAATTTCAGCTTGAAAAAAATGAGTTGGTAAATTTTCTATCTTTTACACCTCATGAAACATTTGACATTACATTTGGAAGTGTGTATTACCTGAAAGTAACTTGATAGAACATTTATGTAAATATTTCTCTATTCTGACAAATTTCCTTGTCCATTTCAGCTTTTTATTTTCTTGAATGAATATTGCTAATTTGTATTTCCATTCATATCATTTACAGTGTCAAAACGTTTCACATTACATTAGTCTACATTTTCATGTAATTTTTTATACATTTGCAAATATTTTGAATTCTACTTCCTACACTGGTGTATCTGTGTTGTTTCTCTTCCCTTCCATTTTTCCTTCAGCAAGGGTCTTTTTATTTTTTTGAATGCTCTCCTGAGCTAATAACAAAATGGAAATGAAGAAGGCAAACGGAAAAGAGTACGGGAAACCTGTGTACACTGTGGTGTGATAATATATCAAAGAGCTATCTAAAATGAAAGGAACATGGATTGTTTTAAAAACGCATGTGCTCATAGGAAATAGTATAAGCAGGAAAGGCAGAAGGCATGCTATTATGCCCACCAAAATCACAATCTTGTAGACATGTATCTCCATGTTAACAAGGATTAAAAACCAATAACAAATACAAAACTAGTTCTACTCATTGCATTTCTGACGAGCTATTTGATCCACTATTGTTTAAGTTGCCATCTCTTTTCCCAGCGATTCCTTGTGGGCCACCCCCAGCCATTGCCAACGGAAATGTCATTAACCCCTACAGAGAAGATTTTCCCTATGGAACCGTGGTGACCTATCGCTGCCATCCCGGACAGAGAGGGAAAAAGCAGTTTGAGCTTGTGGGCAACCCATCGATATATTGCACCAGCAAAGACAATCGCGTTGGCACATGGAGCAGCCCTCCGCCTCAGTGCATCATACCTAATAAGTGCACACCTCCAGACATTGACAATGCAGTGAGGGTGTCTGAGAACAAGACCTTATTTTCCTTACATGAAACCGTGAGGTTTATCTGCGAGCCCGGCTTTGTCATGAAAGGACCCTCCAGCGTGCAGTGCCAAGCCCAAAACACATGGGGGCCAGAGTTGCCGAGCTGCTCCCGAGGTGAGTCTGACTGAGGCTTTGAAGGCACCGACAAAGGGCATGGGTTGCAGGGAGATCAGGAGGTCAGTGCTCGTTCTGGGAGAAGGATGCATGTGGGGAACAATGTGCGGAAATGAAGCATGAAATTATGAGAGTGTGTGTGTGCGTGTGTGTGTGTGTGTGTGCACTTACGTATATGTGCCTTCGCTTTGAAAGCAGGAGCTTCATCAACCAAGGAAGGAGACTTTGGGACTCTCATATTGAGCATCCTCAGAGCAAAATACAAGCTCCAATATCTCCCCGATATCCTGAAGGCTGAGGTGCACTTTCTACTCAGCTGTGCAATAAGCACTTTGAATGCCTTATCTCATCTACCCTTCACAGCTCTCCTTTATGACAGGGCTAGTAATGCCATGTAGACTGGCCAGCACTGGAGAAAGCACCCTCAGGGTCCTGGTCATGCATTTGACCTTGTGCCAGGAAGAACTCAGCTCCAGTGATTGGCCTCTTACTAGGTGCTAGGTGTGAGACATTTGGGCACGTCCCTTCATTGTCTGACTTTACATAACGGTAAAAGGAGGAGGCAGGAGCATCACTTGATTTCCTCTGTTACACCTGACCTCCCTTTAATGGAAGGGTTAGAATGTAGGAAAAGACCTTTCTCCATCACTGACTGGTCCTTCACACCTGTTCTTTCCACAGTATGTCAGCTGCCTCCAGAAATTCTGCACGGAATGCACAGTGCAGAAAACCAGGCCAATTTCTCCCCAGGGCAGGAAGTGTCCTACAGCTGCGAGCCCGGCTATGATCTCCGAGGGGCAGCGTCTCTGCGCTGTACGCCCCAGGGAGACTGGAGCCCAGCGGCCCCAAGATGTACAGGTGCCTACACTGTCATCTCCTTGCAGATCAGTCTTTTCCGTCCTCGCATGATCATCTTACTTCTGTTTTTTCTTGTTCTTGTTCTTGCTGTTGTTATCCTAGTGAAATCATGTGCAGACTTCCGGGGCCAACTCCCTAATGGCCGTGTGCTCTTACCACTGAATTTCCAGCTTGGGGCGAAAGTGTCCTTCGTTTGTGATGAGGGGTGAGTATGACCTGGCAGAGAGATGGGGGACACAGGACTCGATGCTGCTATGCTGACACCAGCGCCAGTGGTGGTCTACCCAAAGAGCAAGCTGCCTAATGGCAAAGAAGTACCAGGAAGGACTGATACCTGAAACAGTGACTGGGAAGTATGGTGGGAACCAGATGGAACCAAGCACCACATGTGCTTGAAAAGGAAAAACAGCAAATACACCGAACAGCAGAAGTGTAACAAGAAATCTTGAATATTCAGGTGAAACATTACATGTATGAATGAAAAGTAACTTGTAGGCACGAAAGGAAAAATACTGATGTGAAAGAAAGTTAATTACAAGTAATATGCAGGGATTGTTCCAAGAAAAATTTAAACCAGTCAATAGTGGAATTTGGAATAGGAACAAAGCATCAAGAGGAATAGTTTTCCATCTAGTTTTATGTCAGCTAATTAGTGTTAGTCTGTATCACAGGAGTATGAAGACCTACACTCATGTTTGCAGTAATGTCGTGAACTCTCTACAGGAATCTTAATGACTTTGGTGTTATGTTCCAACAGCACTGATGGGTAAAAAGCATGGACGACAGAGCAGCTGTCCTCCATATACTCCGAGGATCAGGCAGCAAATATCTGTTCCAACAAAGCCCTGGAGGCAATCCAGAGAGCCACTGCTCTCCTAAGAACCCTCTCTTCTCACCTTTCCCTTCCTTTCCCAGATAATTTGCATTAACTCATCAACAGTGGGGATATGCCAAAGGTGTCGTTCTGGAACATTCCGAATGTGTGGGCCCAAAATAGCAGCCTCTGCTTTCTTTCCTCACCTTCTCTGATTTACCAACTTGAATTGGGAGTTGTCTTCCTCCTGAGCCACCAGAGAGGAGAGTGCTACGTTGTGCCCTAGAGAACAGAGTTGCTGACAGAGACAGACAGGGAGCTGTCAGAGGGCAGGATGGACAAATGACCCCCTGATGGTCAACAACCAGAGACCGTTGTCACTGCTCCATCCTCACTGGAAACCGCAGTCCTGTAAATGTTTTGATTTCATAGCCTCTGGCAGCTGAGAAAGCCGATGAGCTGGGCTTTTCCACCTGGCATTCATCTCAGGCACTAAACTGTATTTCAGCGGAAGGGGAGAGAGAAACGGTGCCCGTGCTCATCCCACCACTGGTGCTTTTGTTCCTCAGGTTCCACCTAAAGGGCAGTTCTGCTAGTTACTGCGTCTTGGTTGGAATGGAAAGCCTTTGGAATGACAGTGCTCCTGTGTGTGAACGTGAGTACAAGGAATGCCTGTTCAGGTCGGCACCTCCCTCCTGGTTTTCTTTGCTAGTTTGTTCCTTTAATGTGTCTTGCCTATAAAATTACCTAATATTTGCCCCTTTGTTGATCTTCACTTTGGATCAACATCTTTCTTTGCTGCAAGGGCTGTTTCCGGGGGAAATAAATCTGAGCATCACATGTTTGGGGGATCATACTGTAAGTGTGTATAAGCATAATGTGTGCTACAAATGAAGAGAAATCTTCATAGAAGGAGGGAGATTTAGAGCCTGAAGCATGTTTCCTGTCAAAACGATAGTTTTTGTATCCTTGCCTTGATCAGCATTCATTCCTAGCCTCATTCTTTTGACAAACTTTTTTGAGCCTCTGGTAGGTGCCACCCAGCCTTCTGGACACTGGGAATACACCCATAAACAAAACAGACTAGCACCCTGCTTTCATGTTGTTTATATTCTTGTGTAGAGGGAAAGACCAAAAAATAACAAACAGGGGTGCCTGGGTAGCAAGGTCAGTTAAAAGTCAGAGTCTTGGTTTTGGTTCTGGTCTCAATTGGTCATGGGATCAAGCCCCACATCAGGCTCAGAGCTGAGCTCAGTCTGCTTCTCTTTCCTTCTTCCTTCTTCCTCTGCCTTTCCTGTTTTTGCCCTTTCTCTCTCCCCCTCCATCTTGAAAAAAACTAAATCTTTAAAAGTAATGACAAGCAAACACATAGACTACTTCAAGTAATACCAAGTGTTATTATGAAAAAAATAGGGTAATGCAATAAATTAGACATTGGGAATACACCTGTAAACGAGACAGACTTGGGCCTTGCTTCCCTGTTGTTTGTACTTGTTTTTAAGGGGAACAGAAATATAATGTGTTAAATACAGAAACACTACTAATATATTCAGTCTGCCCATGTATTTCTTCATGAAATCAAACAGGATGTTGCTTCATCTTCTGATCATAGCTGTTGAAAATACCTGTTTATAATAGAGGGTTTTCAAAGGAATATTTTGCTCTAAAATGTTTGGAAATTTTGTATTGATTTATGTAATGAAACTCGATAATTACATCCTTCGTATCTGGAAGTCAACTGTTTGAAAATCTCAACTTTCCCGGAATGTAGTTAAGAAGCATGAGGGAAAGAAAGGAAAAATACTTCCATGAACCCAGATACACTTACTAGAGTGTAAACATTCCACCTTTTGATTATTCATAATTCTTTAAAGCTGCGGTATCCTCTTCCCAAATACAGATCAAATCAGAAAGGGGAAAGAGTATCTCCAGACAGTTACATTCAAAAGAAGAAATGTGCATTTCTTCAATGAGAAAATTAAAACCTGTAAAAACCAATAAATATCTCAAAAACCATTACATTGCTGCATATTCTGGATCCGTGCATAGGAACACTGAGATGTTCACTCATTGTGATGGCATTACTATATCCATCTGTTTTGGTTTTGAGTATATCAGGAAGAGATTAGATAGTGATAGACAGTGATAGACAAATAGTAAATGTATAATATATTTTGAAAGATTTCTCTGGTGTGAAGATCTTTCACGTCAAAAAAGATTTTTCTCTACTTTGAACTTGAAATAGTATTTTATACAGAGTAGGTCCTCAAAAAGTCCAGTTGAATCAATAGATAATTTTCTTATTAAATGGATGATTTTCTTCTCAATGGGGTTAAGAAGATTTTTGTCTATTTTAAAAGACAGGGCTCTCAGTCATTCAGAAGTCTTCACTCTCCCAGGAGTTCAGGATGACTAAGGCCCTTCTGGGCTTTGATTTCAGTGTCATTTCATTTAGAAGCATCTCAACAGAGACCTTATATACTTACTTTGTGGTTCATACTCTCCTTGAAAGTTAATTATTTAATGGGCAACACAGTCACAGCATCCCGTAATTGAGGAATCAACTCAGATTAAAATATCAACATTTTCGTGTAACTTATAGCACTTGGGTTTTTTCCAGGTATCTTTTGTCCAAATCCTCCCTCTATCCTTAATGGGCAGCACACTGGACCTTCTCAGGGAGACTTTCCTTATGGAAAGGAAATAAATTACACGTGTGACAACAACCCAGCAAGAGGGATGACCTTCAGCCTCATCGGGGAGAGCACCCTCCGCTGCACAAGTGACGATGAAGGGAACGGGATTTGGAGCGGCCCTGCCCCTCGCTGCGAACTTGCTGGTCCTGCAGGTCAGTGCATATTTCCTTATGTCCCATCTAGATCAGAATATCTGGGTGAGAACCTCCCTATTTCTATGGGGACAGTCATTTTGGCTTGGGAACGTGACTTTCTTATAAAAGTAAGGCACACAGAATTACCTACTGGGAGAATGGAAGCTGGGTTCTAGATGTGCCTTGCTGTGTCCCAACTGGTGGTACTCTGATGGCCCTTCCCGCTGGGTTAAGGAGTGTGGGACAGTGACAAGAGAAGGAGGGAGACAGTGGGAAGAATCAGTGAGGCCCAGACTTTACAGAGACTATTTTCAAGCACTAAAAACAAATGCCAAAGAAAACACTCTGTCGTACCATCTCTATTACAAGTTGTATTTTGGGGCACCTGCGTGGCTTAGTGGGTGGAGTGGCCAATTCATGATCTGAGCTCAGGTCTTGATCTCAGGGTTGTGATTTCAGCCCCACATCAAGCTCCCTAATGGACATGGAGCTCATGTTGTATTTCTAGTGGATAGATGGGTGTGCTGAGCAAAAAGCACATGTTGATGGCTGTATTTTACTTTAGAGTTGATGGGATGGAAATGACTAAAGAAATTCCAAGGCAGGCATTTGTATTGCTTTTGTTCCTTCTAAGGAATGTTTTGTTGACCCTTCATCTCACTTTTAGCAACAGGCACTCAAGACGCCCTAGAGAAGTGAAATTCAAGGTTGCAGTCTTAGCAACTCCTTCTTTTTGCATATTTTTACATATTATCTGGCATTAAATGACAATACCTGACAATCCGGGGCTCATTCATGGTTGTGCTTATCCACACCAGCTCTGTGTGCCAATAAGGACAGACAGCACCAAAGTGGTCCTTTGTAGAACCTGGTGGTACTCCCATCTGATGCAGTTTGCTGGTAGAGAATACAGATGATCCTGTTTAAAGGCTGAAGGTCTTCATTTAAAGAATCACTTTCCCACTGATCGGTAAATAAGGAGTGCCTTGGGACCTGCCAGCTTTGGGTCTTCCTGATTAGCAAAGCATTTAAAATGTTTATTTTCCATTCATCTGTTGATGGACATCTAGGCTCTTTCCATAGTTTGGCTAATGTGGACATTGCTGCTATAAACATTCAAATGAACGTGCCCCTTCGGGATCACTGCATTTGTATCTCTAAGGTAAATACCCACTATTGCAATTGCTGAGTCATAGGGTAGCTCTATTTTCAACTTTTTCAGGAACCTCCATACCATTTTCCAGAGTGGTTACACCAGCTCGCATTCCCACCAACAAAGCAGGAGGGTTCCCCTTTCTCCACATCCTCACCAACACCTGTCATTTCCAGACAGGTTAATTTTAGCCATTCTGATTGGTGTGAGGTGGTATGTCAGTGTGGTTTTGATTTGTATTTCCCTGATGCCGAGTGATGTTGAGCACTTTGTCTTGTGTCTGTTGGCCATCTGGATGTCTTCTTTGCACAAATGTCAGTTCCTGTCTTCTGCCCATTTCTTGATTGGAGTATTTGTTCTTTGGGTGTTGACTTTGATAAGTTCTTACAGATTTTGGATACTAGCCCTTTGTCTGATATGTCCTTTGCAAATATCTTCTCCCATTCTGTCAGTTGTCTTTTGGTTTTGTTGCCTGTTTCCTTTGCTGTGCAAAAGTTTTTGATCTTGATGACGTCCCAATAGTTCATGTTTGCCCTTGCTTCCCTTGCCTTTGGTGATGTCTCTAGGAAGAAGCTGCCATGGCTGACGTCAAAGAGGTTGCTGCCTGTGTTATCCTCAAGGATTTTGATGGATTCCTCTCTCACATTGAGGTCTTTCATCCATTTTGAGTCTATTTTTGTGTGTGGTGTAAAGAAACGGTCCAGTTTCATTTTTCTGCATGTGGCGGTCCAATTTTCCCAACACCATTTGTTGAAGAGATTGTCTTTTTGCCATTGGACAGTCTTTTCTGCTTTGTCAAAGATTAGTTGACCATAGAGTTGAGGGTCCATTTCTGGGCTCTCTATTCTGTTCCATTGACCTATGTGTCACCATCAGATACCATACTATCTTGATGATGACAGCTTTGTAAAAGAGCTTGAAGTCTGGAATTGCGATGCCACCAACTTTGGTTTCCTTTACAACTGTCCTCTGGCTATTCAGAGTCTCTCTGGCTCCATATAAATTTTATGATTATTTGTTCCATTTCTTTGAGAAAAGTTGATGGTATCTTGATAGGGATTGCATTAAGTGTAGACTGCTCTAGGTAGTATAGACATTTTCACAATATTTGTTCTTCCAATCCATGAGCATGGAACGTTTTCCCATTCTCTTTGTGTCTTCATCAATTTCTTTCATGAGTACTTTATAGTTTCCTGAGTACAGATTCTTCACCTCTCTGGTTAGCTTTATTCCTAGGTATCTGATGGTTTGGGGTGCAATGATAAATGGGATTGACTCCTCAATTTCTCTTTCTTCTGTCTTGTTGTTGGTGTATAGAAATGCAATGGATTTCTGTACACCGATTTTATATTCTGACTCTTCACTGAATTTCTATATGAGTTGTGACAGTTTTGGACTGGAGTCTTTTGGGTTTCCCACGTAAAATATCATATCATCTGCAAAGAGTGAGAGTTTGACTTCTTTGCTGATTCAGATGACTTTTATTTCTCTTTGTTGTCTGATTGCTGAGGCTAGGACTTCTAGAACTATACTGAATAGCAGTGGTGAGAGTGGACAGCCCTGCTGTGTTGCTGACCTTAGTGGAAAAGCTCTCAGTTTTTCCCTATTGAGAATGATATTCGCTGTGAGTTTTTCATAGATGGCTTTTATGATATTGAGGTTTGTACCCTCTATCCCTACACTGTGAAGAGTTTTCATCAAGGACATATGCTGTACTTTGTCAAATGCTTTTTCAGCATCTATTGAGTGTATCTTATGGTTCTTGTTCTTTCTTTTATTAATGTATTGTATCACATTGACTCATTTGCAGATGTGGAACCAAACTTGCATCCCAGGGATCAATCCCATCTGGTCATGGTGAATAATCTTTTTAATGTACTCTTGGATCCTATTAGTTAGGATCTTGTTGAGAATCTTAGCATCCATATTCATCAGGGATATTGGTCTGAAATTCTCCTTTTTGATGAGGTCTTCACCTGGTTTGGGGACCAAGGTAATGCTGGCTTCATAGAGTCTGGAAGTTTTCCTTCTGTTTCTATTTTTTCAAACAGCTTCAAGAAAATAGGTACTCTTTCTTCTTTGAATGTTTTGCTGTAAAATTTCCCCGTGAATCCATCAGGTCCTGGACTCTTATTTTTTGGGAGGTTTTTGATCACTGCTTCAATCTCATTGCTAGTTAGTGGTCTATTCAGGTTGTCAGTTTCTTCCTGTTTCAGTCTTGGAAGTTTATAGGCTTCCGAAATGCACCCGTTTCTTCTAGGTTGCTTAACTTATTGGCCATACCTGTTGATAATGATTTCTGATGATTGTTTCTACTTCCTTATTATTAGTTGTGATCTCTCCCCTTTCATTCATAATTTTATTAATTTGGGTCCTTTCTCTTTTCTTTTGGATTTGTCTGGCCAGTGGTTTATCTATCTTATTAATTCTTTCCAAGAATCAGCTTCTAGTTTTGTTGATGTGTTCTACTACATGTCTGATATCTAATTCATTGATATCTGCTCTAATCTTAATTATTTCCCTTCTACTGCATGGGCTAGGCTTAATTTTTGTTGATTCTCCAGTTCTTTAAGGCTCTCCAATGAAGACATGCAAATGGCTAACAGACACATGAAAAAATGTTCATCATCATTAGCCATCAGGGAAATTCAAATCAAAACTACCTTGAGATACTACCTTACACCAGTTAGAATGGCAAAAATTAACAAGGCAAGAAACAACAAATGTTGGAGAGGATATAGAGAAAGGGGAACCTTCTAACACTCTTGGTAGGAGTGCAAGTTGGAGCAGCCCCTTTGGAAAACAGTTTGGAGGGTCCTCAAAAAATTAAAAATAGACCTACCCTATGACCCAGCAATTGCATTACTGGGTTTTTTACCCCAAAGATACAGGTGTAGTGAAAAGAAGGGCCTTAGGTACATAGCAGCAACATCCACAACAGCCAAACTGTGGAAAGTACCAAGGTGTCCTTCAACAGACGAATGGATAAAGAAGATATGGTCCATATGGAGGTGGAGATGAACCATGAGAGACTGTGGGCTCTGAGAAACAAACTGAGGGTTTTAGAGGTGATGGGGTGAGGGGATGGGTTGGCCCGGTGATGGGTATTAAGGAGGGCCCAAATTGCATGGAGCACTGGGTGTTATACGCAAACCATCAATCTTGGAACACTACATCAAAAACTAATAAAGTGCTGTACGGTGACTAAATAATATAATAAAAAGATTTTTTAAAGCTAAATGCAAATGTATGCTGTGACTGAGCATTTTACTCCTGGTACTGACTCAAAAGAAATTAAAGCATCTGACCACACAGACACTTCGGCATGGATTTTTATAATGGCTTTATTTCTACTAGCTAACAACTAGAAATAATCTAAGTGGCATTCAACAGCCAATTAGGCAAATCAAATTTAAGTATATCTGTACAACTGATTATCACCCAGCAAAAAAAGAAATACTTTTTATATATGATATATGCAACAAACTTAGTGAATCTCAAAAATAATCATTCTGTATAAAAGCTAGACCAACGAAACCGGGTGGGGGGGAAAGTACGAACCAATTGAGTTGGTTTATATGAAATTACAAAAGATCAAATCAATCTGAAATAAGAAGAAGCAGGCAAGAGATGGCCTGGAGAAGGATGTAGAGAGACAGATGGATTATAAAGTAAAATGAGAAAACTGTTGGAGTGATGGAAATGTTTGTTATCTTGATTGTGGTAATGGTTTCATGGTGCACACAAGTGTCAATTTCATCATGTTATCTACTTTAAATATTATTCAACTATTGTATTTAATGTATCCTAAAGCTATGCAGAGTTTTTTTAAAATGAACTATGGTAGGTGTTGAGTTTATGGAGTTCATATTAATATACTTCTTAGAATGTGAGGGATTGGGAATGAAGGAGGAAAAGGAAACCAGATCAATCTTTCTCTAGTGAAGGCTCATATGTTTCTTTCTATTTCAGCTATTATGCCTATTTACATTTTTTACTTCTACCTCACAGTAAGAAGAAGACACTAGGTTCAAATTCTGTTCTCTAGGAATCCAGTTTCTAAAACTATACATTAATATCTCTTGTATTAGTTTCTTATTGCTACTCTAACAAATTACCACAAACTAAATGGCTTACAACAATGGAAATTTATCCTCTTACAGTTCCAGAGGTCAAATTCTCAAATGGGTCTGTAGGGCTGTGTTTCTTCTGGAGGCTCCAAGGGAGATTAGGTTTCCCAGCTCTTTTCTCTTCCAGAGGCTGCCTGCATACTTTGGTTCATGGCTCTCTTTCTCTACCTTCAAAGCCAGCACTGGAATGTCTTAAAATCTCCTTCGTCTGTCTTGGATCCTTCACCTCCCTCTTTTAAGGACCTTTGTGATTACATTGAGGGCCACCCAGATAACCCAGGAAAATCTTCCCACCACAAGATTCTTAATTTAACCACAACTGCAAAGCCTAGTGCCATATGAGGTAACAGTTGCAAGCTCCAGAGGTTAGGGCATGGATATCTTTGGAAGCTCATTGTTTAGGCAACCACATATTTCTATAGATTTTCAAAATCTTAGCTGAGCCTGCTGATGGAATCCATTACCATTAGAGTGAGCTTAGTAGCAAATGGTTATAGCCCAGCAAGCAGCCGGCAGTGTGTACACTGAAGATGGCTAATGAGACCATAAAATATATGTAGAATCTAAAAACATGAACATGATAGAACAAAAGACAGGGAGGAAGTAAACGGAGTGAGCATTTTCTATGTTTTTTGCATGCTGGGAAATGATCATTGTTCATTGCACATTAACATGGTAAGGATGCATGTCATCTTTAAGGAGCTATAAAAGAATGTGTAACACATAATCTAATAAGAAGAAATAACGATAGGGACTCCTGGGTGGCTCAGGTGGTTGAGTGTCCAACTCCTGATTTCAGATGAATTCAGGTGCTGCTCAGCACGGAGTCTGCTTGAGATTCTCTCTCTCTCTCTTACTGTGCCCCTCCACCTGCTCACTCACGCTCGAGCTCTCTCTCTCTCTCGCTCACTCTCTCTCTGTAAATAAATAAATAAAATCTTTTTTCATACTCAAAATGAAGGCAAAAGAGAAGAGCATAAGGAACATAGGAAAGGAAGGACAAATAAAAATCAAGTAAGATGATAGATCTAATCATGAATATGTCAACAATTATAGTAAATATAAATAGACAATTCCACTTT